ATACAAGGAAGGAAATTTGATCGAATTTTATAAATTTCTGAACTCTGAGCAATTTCCAAATTTAAAGAAATTTTCTTGTAAATTTATCTCCATTTTTGGGACGACATATCTGTGTGAACAAACTTATTTCCAGATGAAGTACATCCAGTCGAAATGCAGGGCAAATTTATCTGATGAACATTTAAAGTCGCTACTTGTGATAGCGTTTCAAAATTTGAACCTCAATTTAATCAGATTTTAAGAATGTAAAAAGAGTTCCATCATTCATATTAATTGTTAATTATAATTTGTGATTAAAATATGAGCATTTGCCGCTGCTGTCTGTTGTGATTAATATATGATAATTTATTCTAACGTACTTTGTATTTAGTTTATGAAATTCTGTGCTTTCAATAAAACTCATATACCTAGAGTTATTAATTTCTCATTTTATCTGGCCCGTTGAAAGTGCTGAATTACCTAATGTGGCCCGCGGTTCGAAAAGTTTGGAGACCCTTGGTATAGAAGATCACTTACTGTGCAGTGCAAGAATCAGTTAGCTTAAATGAAACAGCTTCCATTAACCGAAGAAGCCCCGACGTACCCTAATTTAATACAAGATGGATCCCACGGAATAAGTGTACTTGCGCTTTTTGTGATTTACTGACGCCCGTACAAGGCCGCGCCATAGCTCAGGCGGTTAGTCGCTGGCTTCCCACTGCGGCGGCCTGGGTTCGATCCTGGGTCTGGTCAAGTGGGATTTGTAGTGGACAAAGTGGCGCTAGGGCAGGTTTTCTCCGAATCCTTCGGTTTCCCCTGCCAATCTTAATTCCACCAATTGCTCCACAATCACCCTCACCTATCATCTGGGGCTGGTACAACAGGCCAGAAGTGGCCCACCTCACTAGCAATAAAAGAAAACTAATAATACTGACGCCAGTGATTGCATGACCACACTTATCACGTCCTATATAGGTATGGCAAGAAAACGGACTAACCTGTTTACTTACTCCACTCGAAAAGCTAGAAGCATTGCCAGCACAGTGCTCTCTGCTCCCAGTGTTACAAAAGTACTGTAATGATATCAATGTTCATACTCCTGTCTCTGTCCTCGTGTTATGAAATTTCTGCGATCGTCGTTACTTTGCTGTCTCTGTAGTGACATTGGCTTCACTGCGGTCATTACTCAAGTGAGAAGACGGATAGCAGCGTTAACGCAAAAGGCACGAACTACTCCGTTGAGTGTTCATATTTCTGAAGATTGGTCAAACGTTTCCTGTTTCGGGCTCGATAAATTAGCACTAGTGTACAAACTGTCAAAGATGTTGTGGGTGGGGGAGGAAGGGCAAAGGTTCCGGTACTATCGCCTGTTTCACATTTACCTCCATCAGCTTAAAGTTAATATGAAATCAGCATACTATTTCGGTCACGTTACCATTAATGTACGAGCACATACTGCGCGAGTTTTTTTAAAGCGGAAGTTACACCAATTCATTTTCCCAACTAATTGTTTGCTGTATCAAGTTATGCACCATAAATCAAAATAAAACGGGGTAAATTTTATCGACTCTTAAACAAATATGGCAGTTAACAAATGTTCACAAATAATCAACAAGATCTCACCAGAAATACAGGTGACTTGCGCCTACCTAGCCTCCTATCCAATGGGTACTAGGGATAAAGCGTCCGGAGCGTGAAGATGACCATTACCTCCATCTAGTGCCGAGATTACTACGTGAAGCTTTGCCTCCACTCGGCCACGTCTCATCATGGCATGGTGCTAAGTACCGGGACAACCTTGAAAAAGAAAAATACCTTACTATTAGCACGTATATATATATATAACCGAACTGAAACGTTCCTTGCGTGATAATAAAATGCCTCCGCCTTTCTATCGATAATCTCACACACGAAAACTTATTAATATTTACAAACTTCGAGATATTAAGAAGTTAATGGTAAAGTAGCTGTGTCCAGGGTTTCCTTGACATTCTCCCATTTCTAAAGTTAGACACTAAGCCGTAAACATATTACCATATTTCCCCTTGCAGCAATACTAATATTGACTAATTTAAGCATAGGCCGCGCCATAGTTCAAGCGGTTAGTCGCTGGCTTCCCACCGCGGCGGCCCGGGTTCGATCCCGGGTCTGGTCAAGTGGGATTTGTGGTGGACAAAGTGGCGCTGGGGCAGGTGTTCTCCGAGTACTTCGGTTTCCCTTGCCAATCTTCATTCCACCAATTGCTCCACAATCACCCTCACCTATCATCTGGGTACAATAGGCCAGAAGTGGCCGCAGTACAAGGGACTTAGTCCCACCCCACTAGCAATAAAATAAAAATTTAAACATAAATATGGATTATGCAGTACATGTAAATTTTACTGTTCATCACTCTGTTTGCAGACCAGAGAGGGAGATGAATTCACATTTTCTCAGCGGAAGAATGTTAAATTTCCAGGATGGATTTATATGGGTAGCCAGTATATTAAACAAAGAGATTAATTATTTATTATATCACGGATATGTTCATGTCTTCATTAAGTAAATGTAATTTGTTTGATATGAATAAAACTGTAATAAAGAGATAAACTGCTGGCAGATCGTTATCAGAGAAAGTACTTCTTTTTGTGCCAGTACTGATGGCTATGACCAACATCTTTCTTGGATAGCATTAAGCACAGAATACCCTTTACCTATTCGATTTTCAGATGTCGCCTCCTTTCAGGATCCGCCCCAATTAAATTATGTCCTATCTGACGAACTCCCCCACATGAAATTCTCCAAATCGGTTTAAATTCGGGAATTCAAACTAGTGAAATATGAAGATCATTCAATTTTCCTCGACAGAAAATTCAATTTGATGCACTGAGGAACACAATGGAAAATCCGAGCTAGGGAATACTCTATGAATACCTAAGAATATTAAAGAACACATTATTCTATTGGGCGAATTGTGTCGCTGATATGTCTACTGCTTTAGGGGAAGCACTCTGATCCCCGTATGACAATACTACGAACTTAAACAGATAATTCTGAATGGTTACTTCCTCGTAATTCTGTGGAGCAGCCTTAAGGCGCGTCCACATTACTCGTGCTCGTGTGACTTGCTATGTTCGCGAGTAATGTGGACGATATGACAAGTCATGAGACAAGAAAATTTTAAATTTTTAATTTAAAAACTATAGCCAATAAATTAAAATACGACTACAGCCTATACACACTACGAGTAAATATATGGATCCTCACGCGCCGAAGCCTGGCGAGCAACTGAAGTAATGTGGATGAAGATTTACGAGCACAAGTAAAAGCCAGACGAGTCTCCCGACAAGCACAAGCCTGGTGAGCACGAGCACGAGTAATGTGGACGCGCCTTTAGGAAAATTGAGAAAAGATAGTACCTCAGATTATGGTGCACGAATTATACTTGTACACAAGACGCCTGCAACATACATCCAAGTGTATACACCATTAGACACGAGAAAACTTGTTTTTCGCAATCAGACTACAATAAATCACAGGAAGTTAGATTATTTAAAGTAGGTTTCGGCTAATGTTTCCAAACGTCGCTTTCACTTAGACTGGGCACCTTTATGCTTACTGCTGGTAGACAGAACAAGGATCCCTACTAAGCATCAATTACATGCAGCCCTCACAAGCAAAGTTAGTGACAATTATGCAAATAAGCAGCGAGGCGGGCATAGTTCTGTCCACCAACTCCGCTCCATCATGTATCAAGGATCGTAGCGTTCAATATGATACAGGATATCACAATGATCTCAACGAAACATACAAAATTTTGAGAAAGCACGTTATATAAACCGTCGTCACATATTTTCTTACAACATACCAGAAACTATGAAATTAGAAGCGTCCAGGTAAGAGTATACGATGTAAATTTTGTTGTGGTAGTTTTTTTCCCTTGGTACTACAGCCCCAGTGGGCCTAGGCCTGCCTCCATGAACTTCTCCGTTCACGTTGTGGTAATTTACAACTTATTTATTCATAAAGACACATTATTTACTGATATGCTCTCTGCACAGATCACGATGCGCTGAAAGAGTTCTGACAATGCCCACGCACGGTGAACTAACCACATTTACAATTGTAGTCTTGGGATCACTCATTCATGGGACTGGGCCCTTTTTGAGAAGCCGCCAATTGTGCAGCAACTCAAGAATTTCCCAGTATTTTATGCAACCCGAAGGTTCATTACCGTGTTCACAAGAGCCCTCCACTGGCCCATATCCTGAGCCAGATCAATCTAATCCATCCCATCCTATCCATTTTAACATTGTTCACCCACCTACGCCTTGGTCTTCCCAATGGTCTCTTTCCTTCTGGCTTTCCCACCAATATCCTACATGCATTCCTCTTCTCCCCAATTCGTCCTACATGCCCTGCCCACCTCATCCTCCTTGACTTCATCATTCTAATTATATTTGTGGTCTTAAGATATGGTTCTACATATATTCTTCATAGCAACAGGACCCAAACGACTGGAAGGAATCTGGAACGAAGTGGCCTGTTTCAGGATACTGTTATGGGCTAACATTCATTTCGCGGCACAGCAGAAAACCAAGATATTAGTAACCGCTCCTTACACCAAGATGTTCGGTATTTGCATTTCTGACTTCTGTATTGCTTCGAAAAAAAAAAAAATCTGAACAATCGGTAGGCCTGCACTAAAACCTTCTCGGCCAATCATCCGTGTCAATATTGAGTTAAAAACCATTTTCTGAAACGCTGATTTGTAACTCGACATTGACACGGATCGCCGTCCGAGAAGAGTTTAGTGCATTCATTCGCCGTGAAAGCTTCAAATCGTAAACCGGTATGACAATTAAGTTATGACGTCATGTAGCATGAAATGATGAATCTGGAGAAAGACGTGGCGTATCAACCAAAGCCACGGTCACAGCTCAGATCTCTGCGCCCGAACATGGTGCTTACAGCACTCGTATTATTTTTCTTTATTGCTAGTGGCGTGGGACTAAGTCCCTTGTACTGCGGCCACTTCGAGCCTATTGTACCAGCCCCAGATGATAGGTGAGAGTGATTGTGGAGCAATTGTTGGAATGAAGACTGGCATGGGAAACCGAAGTACTAGGAGAAAACCTACCCCAGCGCCACTTTGTCCACCACAAATCCCACTTGACCACACCCGGGATCGAACCCGGGCCGCCGCGGTGGGAAGCCAGCGACTAACCGCTTGAGCTATGGCGCGGAGCAGTTCTCGTATCTTTAAGTGCAGAGTATCGACAAGTCTGTCAGTAACGATACTACACTGCGTCCGATCATAGGATATCAAATGAACAACCACGAAGTCGATGGAAGCGGTCGTGGCCTAACCGAGATACTAAGCCGGCATTTGCCTGAAGGAATGAGAAAAGTCATGGAAAGTCTTAGTAATAAGACCGACAACGGGAACGACGATTACAAATCAAAACCTGATTCAGGAGGAAATTAAGAGGCGATTTAACTCGGGCAATGCTTGCTACCATTCAGTCCAGAACCTTTTGTCTTCTCGTCTGCTGTCCAAAAACATAAAAATAAGAATATACAAAACTATAATTTTGCCTGTGGTTCTGTATGGGTGTGAAACTTGGTCTCTGACATTAAGGGAGGGACATAGACTGAGGGTGTTTGAGAACAGGGTGTTGAGGAGAATATTTGGACCGAAGAGAGATGAAGTGATAGGAGGTTGGAGAAAACTGCATAATGAGGAGCTTCACAACTTGTATTCTTCTCCAAGTATAATTAGAATGGTCAAGACAAGGAGGATGAGGTGGGCAGGGCATGTAGCACGAATGGAGGAGAAGAGGAATGCATATAGGATATTGGTGGGAAAGCCAGAAGAAAAGAGACCACTGGGAAGACCAAGGCGTAGGTGGGTGGACAATATTAAAATGGATCTTAGAGAGATTGAATGGGATATTTTGGATTGATCTGGCTCAGGATATGGACCAGTGGAGGGCTCTTGTGAACACGGTGATGAACCTTCGGGTTCCATAAAATGCTTGGAAATCCCGACCAAGATTCGAACTGAGAATCTCTCGAATAGAAATCTGAAGCGTTACCGCTAGGCTGTCTTGTGTCTACAAGTCGGTGAACCTTAATAATGTAATTTACCTTATAGTACACTTTCTCTTGAAGAAAACTGCATAATGAGGAGCTACAAATCTTATATTCATCGCCAAGTGTAATTAGAATAATGAAGTCAAGCAATGTGAGATGGGCAGGACATGAAACACGCGTGAGGGAGGACAGGAACGCATAGAGGATTTTCGTGGGAAAGCCAGAAGGAAAAAGACCATTAGGAAGACGTAGATGTAGGTGGGGCAATAATATTAAAACGAATCTCAGAGAGATAGGATTGGGTGGTATGAACTGAATTGATCTGGCTCAGAATACGGATAAGTAGTGGGTTCCTGTGAACACAGTTATGAACCTTCGGATTCCACAAAATATTGGGAAATTTTTGAGTAGCTTAGCAACTGGAGGCTTCTCAAGAAGGGCTCGGCTCCATGGAGTTTGTTGAATTAATAGAATTTGATTTAATGGATCCTGTGCGCAGTAAATTGTTATAAGTTGTGTATTAATGAGTGATGCAATGCCTAATAATTAGTTACGAACCAGTCAATCATTCAATCAATCAGTTAATCAACAAAATAGTAATATTTATAATTTAAATCTCTTTCACGGTTCTGACCATTTATGAAAATGGTTGCCTCTCATATATACATATAGATTTTTCTAGTAAAATTTCCATTTAGAAGCTGGGCCCAAGTCAAGGTGAA